TTTTGAAGACCCTTCAACTGCAACTTACCTCCAGTTCCTGAAGGAAGGGCTGCACAGAGCAAAGCCATACCTGCAGCCCTAAAAACAGGCACCTGAACACCCCACTGAGATGGCCAAAGACTTCAGAGATCTATTTTGGTTACAGCAAAGTCTCCTCATCTCCGTGCCAGACATTGGTGTTGAGCTGCAGGCAGTCCCAGGCCAGGACCTTGGTTTGAGCCTGAGCTCCAGTTTACACAGCCTGCCCTTCTCAGTTCAGGCACATTTCTACAGCAGTGCAAGTACTTGAACCCATTCCCAGTGCACCTGCCTGGCTGTGCCACCCAGCCTCATTTCTTTGCAGCTCCTTTCAGCCTGGTGGGACTGGTGTAACCACGGGCCTGCTGATCTCCAGGACTTGCTGAGTGCAGGGAGCAGCACTGCCACTGTGACCGAACACTCGTGGTGAGGACAGCCTGCTGTCCTGGGGCAGCTCTGGACACTGCCTGACAGTGACAATCTGTGTGACAGGACGGTGGCAGCTGCGTGTGACAGCCCTGAGCAGCCCCCAGCGCCCTGTGTCACCTGGTGGCCTCACTCGGGCAGGGTCTGTGCCCCGAGGGTGGCACGGGGACCAGGAGTGGGCATCAGAGGGGTGAGGTGAGGATGAGTTTGAGCCCCCAGGAGGCTGGAGGACACAGCAGTGAGCAGTGTCCCACCCATCCATCCCTCCAGGGCTCCCTCCTCAGCCGCTCTGGGAGCTTCTCCCAGTGCCCCCTTGGAGCTCCTGCTCTGTCCCTGTTTGCTTTGAGCTTCCAGGTTGTGCTGGCTGAGGAACCATGAAGTTCCCTCTGGGAACTCCCCTGAGAGCCTCACCTGGGTGAGGACTGGGCAGTTCTAAAAGCCAGAAGTACAAACAGTTATTTTCAGGAATTTTTTCCAAAGAGATTGTTCAGACATTAAGCCATTTTCCCTTACCTGAAGCCACCCTGAGCAGTTGCTCCCACTCTGTGCCAATGCCTGGATACAGAATGAGCATCATTTCGTAATTTGGAGAAGGAAAGGTTCAGTGGAACGGGTTTTAAGGCATATTCCTACAGACATGTGAGGGGACAAAGCATCCTCAGTAGCTGCCTGCAGCCAGCCCTGGCTGGTGATGCTTTTTCTGCTCTCTGAAGCACAATTTTGTTGGACCAAATCAAGTTTAGGGAAAAGCTTTTTTTTTTTTTTTCCCTCCCTTCTGACGAGGTATTTTCATTGCTGGGCTCCAGGTGCTGGGAGGAGCCTGGGGGTGGCAGTTACCCTGTCCCCACCATGCCCCAACTTTCCTGTCCATAGCCTGGGGACTGAGCTTAGCTGCACCTCTGGGCTGTCACTTCACTAATTGCTCTAGTGAGATTAATTAATGGTCCCGGGATGTTTCTCAGTGTTGGCTTTGTAACTATGCATCAGCTCTGCACTTTCCCACAGCCCAGTGGGACAAGCTGGGTCTGGCTGTGCCTCGGGGCAGCACTGCAGAGTTGTGTCACCCCTTCGGGCACCTCCATCCCTGCAGGGCTGCGGTGTTTGCAATCCCTCAGAGCCCCTGTTTGTTATTCCCACGAGCCTGGAGAGTGGCAGAGGGAGCCCCAAAGCCACCCCAAGCCGAGGGAGCCCCAAAGCCACCCCCAAGCCGAGCAGCCTGGGGGATCCCGAGGGGACACCGTGTCCCTCTCGCTGTCAGGGTGCCCGGCTGCTCCGCGGCTGCCGCCCGGGTGTCCGCGGGTCGGTGCCAGCGCTGTGCCCACCCGTTCGCTCCGTTCCTCGGTGGCGGGTCCCGCCGCCGCCCCTGCCGCGCCTGGTGACGCCCCGGCCCGAAAGCGCGGCGGGCCCGGGCCGATGTCGGCCGGGAGGGGCGGCGGAGCGGCCCCGGTAAAAACATCCGTGGGGGCGGCGGAGCGGCCCCGGTAAAAACATCCGTGCAGCCTCAGCCCGGCCTCCGCTCTCCTTCCTCCGCCGGGGCTGCGGGTGGGCGAGGGGCGAGCCGGGCGCGCTGCCCCGCACCGGGGTGGCCTGAATGTCCTTCTTTACTCCGGGGTGTCCCTAGTGTCCCTTTACATCGAGGTGTCCTCTGTGTCTTCTTTACACCGGGGTGTCCCTAGTGTCCCTCTACTCCGGGGTGTCCCCAATGTTCTCTTTGCACGGGGGTGTCCCTGCATGTCCCCCCTGCACCAGGGTGTCTCCACTGTCCTCTGTCCCCGGGCTGTCCCCTGTCCCCGAGCTGTCCGCTGTCCCTGTCCCCGGGCTCTCCCTGTCCCTGGGCTGTCCCTGTCCCCGGGCTCTCCCGGGACTGTCCCCTGTCCCCGGGACTGTCCCCTCTCCCCGGGCTCTCCCTGTCCCCGGGCTCTCCCTGTCCCCGGGCTCTCCCTGTCCCCGGGCTGTCCC